CGGCTAATTTTTTCTATATATTTTTAGTTGTCCGATTAATTTCTTTCTATTTTTAGTAGAGACGGGGTCTCGCTCTTGCTCAGGTTGGTTTCGAACTCCTGAGCTCAAACAGTCCGCCCGCCTTGGCCTCCCAGAGAGCTAGGATTACAGGCGTGAGCCACCGCGCCCGGCCCCAGATTCAGGTTTTTGAATGAAGTGCTATAAGCAAAAATAAGGGAAGTTGTATTTAAAAGAAAGTTTGATTTGCTAATGAGTAATCATTCTGGGTAACTTTCATTAAAGAGTGATTTTAAACTTTCGAAGAGAGTTGTACATGTTTTTCTTACTAATTAAAAAAAACTTTCTGTAATTCTTCTCAGACTAAGAACGCCAACATTCTAGGATTCTGCTGGACCAGCTCTACTGAAATTGTCTTTATAACAGATCAAGGAATTGAATTTTACCAGGTATCACATTTATCATTTATGTTTGCTGGAGAAAGTTCTGTGATAGCAGTTTGGTGGCCTTTTGAACACGGCACTAAAGAGAGATTTTCAGATTCTAGAGCTTTAGTCTCTTGCTTGGGTTTTCTTTTTTTTTTTCCTAATTATAACTAATACATTTTTAAGAAATAAAACATCCAAACATTACCAAGATATATGGAAAGTAAAAGTCCCCTATAATCCCCAGAAATAACTATTATGAACAATTTGGTGCATATTCCTCCATTTTTTTCAAACATACAAACATTATTATTATTTTTACAAAAGGGACTATTATATATAAACTTCTATAGCTGGCTTCATTTTGCATAGCAGTATATCTTGGACATCTTTCTATATTCTGACTAGTATTCTACTGTATCGATGGACTACAGTTTATTTAACCAATACTCTGTTGATGGACATCCGGCTTATTTTTACTTTCTTGTGATTACAAACAATTCTACATTAACATGTTTATACACATTTCTTTATATTCTTGGGTGAGGTGGTTACAACGTAGGTATGAACATCTAAAGCTGAACAGATATCACCAAATTTCTTCCAGAAGTTTGTACCTTCACTAGTAATATAGGAATCTCCATTTTCTAAACTTTGCCAGAGCCAAATATTATTAATATCAGTGTATAGACATTTGCCAATCTGAGAGATAGACATTTTAATTTGTATTTTCTGTTACTAGGAAAGTAAGCATCTTTTTACTCATGTATTATCCATTTATATTTCTGTTTGTGAACTGCCTCTTCACCTTGAAAACAAATTTTTTTAAATTGTGATTAAAAAACACATCACAAAATTTACCATCTTAACTCTTATTAAGTGTACAGTTCAATAGTGTTAAGTATATTCATTCACATTGTTGTGAGGCAACTTCAGAACTTTTTCTGCTTGCAAAACTGCAATGCTGTACCCATTATACAATTCCCCTTTTCCCCTTTCCCCCATTCCCTGCCAACCTCCATTCTACTTTCTGAGTTTGACTTCTTTAGGTATCTTGCTCTGTTGCCCAGGCTGGAGTGCAGTGGTACAGTCATAGCTTACTGCAATCTCCCATTCCTGGGCTCAAGTGATTCTTTTGCCTGAGCCTCTTGAGTAGCTAGAACTACAGGAATGTGCTACCACACCCAGCTAATTTTTTTATTTTTTGTAGAGATGGGGTCTTGCTATGTTGCCCAAGTTGGTCTTGAATTCCTGGCCTCAAGTGATCTCCTGTCTCAGCCTCCTGAAGTGCTGGGATTAGAGATACAAGCCACTGCACCCAGCCAGATACTTCACATAAGGGGGATTATACTGTTGTCTTTTGTGACTGGTTTATTTCAGTTAACATAATGTCCTCAAGGTTGATACATGTTGTAGCATAGGGTTTCCTTCTTTTTAAGGCTGAATAATATTCCATTGTGTGTACATATTACATTTTGTTTATCCATTCATCCATTCATTCCACCTCTTGGCTATTGTGAATAATGAGGCTGTAAACACGGGTGTGCAAACTAGTCAAGATCCTGTTTTCAATTTTTTTAGATACATACCCAGAGTGGGATTCCTGGATCAGGTGGTAGTTCTACTGTTTAATTTTCTGGGGAATTGCCATACTGTTTTCCATAGCAATTACACCATTTTTACAATTCCCCCAAGTGTACAAAAGTTCCAATTTCTTCATATCCCCACCAACACGTATTTTGTGCATTTCTGATAGTGGCCATCCAGTGGGTATGAGGTGTTATCTCACTGTGGTTTTGATTTGCATTTCTCTAATGATGAGTGACATTGAACATCTTTTTACATGCGTGCTGGCCACTTGTATATCATCTTTGGAGAAATGTCTAGTTAAGTCCTTTACCCATTTTTAAATTGGTTTTTTTTTTTTTTTTTGCTGTTGAATTGTAGGAATTCTTTATATATCTGGATATTAATACCTTGTCAGATACATGTTTTGCAAATATATTTTCTTAGTCTATAGGTTGCCTTTTCACTGTGTCGATTGTGTCCTTGAACGTACCAGCCTGTTCATCTTTTAATATGTTCCAACTGCCTGACCTGTTGAGAATGCTTCTGAGATCTCTAAGAGGAGCTAATGTAGACAGTGTTAGAATTCTTTCACGTTTTAATGTTTTTGACCTAATAAAAGCAGTATAATTTAGAATTTATGGATGGAGAAAATATACCTGTGTGAGCAAAACATGAGATGTTAATGTCATGGTGTTTCGCTGTAGGGCTACCATCAAAATCTTTGCAAAGACCAGGACAAAGAGAACTTGATTGATTGGTTGATTGGGGCAGAGTCTGGCTCTGTTGCCTGGGCCAGTGTGCCGTGGCATCAGCCTAACTCACAGCAACCTCAAACTCCTGGGCTCAAGCAATCCTCTTGCCTCAGACTCCCAAGTAGCTGGGGTTACAGGCATATACCACCATTCCTGGCTAATTTTTTTGATATGTACATATTTTAGTTGCCTGGCTAATTTCTTTTTTCTTTTTTTTTTTTTTTGGGTAGAGATGGGGGTCTCACTCTTGCTGAGGCTGGTCTCGAACTCCTGATCTCAAATGATCCTCTGGCCTCGGCCCCCCAGAGTGCTAGGATTACAGGCTTGAGGCACCACGCCCGGCCACAAAGAGAACTTTAAACAAACTTTAGACTAATCTCATACACACAAATAGATTTTTGTACATATGATAACACGGAAAGAATGGCTTGTTTTACAGGAGTTCCCTGTGATAATCATTTAAAAGTCTATCTTTCTGTTTTCTGTAGTGGGAAAGTATACCTGAAGGGTACCTAGATGATCTTAAGGTTTTCAAGAAATAAGTCAAGCTGGGTACAGTGACTCATGCCTGTAACCCCAGCACTTTATGAGACTGATGTGGGAGGATCGGTTGGGCCCAGGAGTTTGGAGATCAGCCTGAACAACATAGCGAGACCCTATCTCCACAAAAAATAGAAAAATTAGCTGGGCATAGTAGTGCGTGCTCATATTCCCAGCTACTTGGCAGCTACTTGGGAGGCTGAGGCAGGAGGATCGCTTGGGCCAGGAGTTCGAGGCTGCAGTGAACTATGATTGCACCACTGCACTTCAGCCTGGATCGAGACCCTGTCTCAAAAAAACAAAAAAGTTAAAAAGAAAGAGGACCTTATTCTTATTTTATTATAGCTGAATTATCGAGAAATTGACACCGCCTGACTCTGACTTCTACATCATTTCTTCAGTGCAGTGTTCTATGAGCATTAATGTCTTAGGGGCTCTGTGTAGTGTTTAATGCATGAGAATATTTAGAGTATATTTAAAATGCACCTTGATTATAAAATACTACATTTGCGTGCAGTCTCATGAACACATCTGTTAGAAAAAGGAAGCCCCTTCCAGGCGCAGCGCAGACTGAAGTGGAGATGGAGACCGGGCAGAAAGCAGATCTGCTGCAGGCTGGGATGTGATTGATGTAATACGCAGGGCGCGGGGGTGTCGGTTTCTTTGACCCTTTCCTCAGTGAATGAGAGCTGGTTGTGCCTTGCCTTTGCTCTCTGGTGCCTGAGCTGGTGGAGGCTCAGAGGTGGACTGTGGAGCGCACCAGCCGCTGAGGCTGACACTGCGTTGTTACGTTGGCAGCTTCCCTTGTGATGCTTGGTGATCGCTGAGCATTACTTTCTCATCTGTCACGTAGGGCTAGTGACGCCCACCTGTCAGGGTTGTGGCAAAGAGCAAATGAGTTCAGATGTGTAAAGCACTAAGCACAGGGCTAGCACGTAGTAGCTGTAACTGATAAAAATAATACTTTTCGGCCGGGCGCGGTGGCTCACGCCTGTAATCCTAGCACTCTGGGAGGCCGAGGCGGGTGGATTGCTCAAGGTCAGGAGTTCGAGACCAGCCT